CATTGCAATTAATTTTCAAGGTTAGAAAGACTTAAAAATTTTCGTAAAAATGGAAAATCCCTCGAAAAGTGCATTTCTAGTCGTTTTTTGGATAAAAACCGAGTCTTAAAAGGGTAAAACCATTTCTAGAACGCCTTTTCCACCCAAAATTCACTATTTTTGGGTCGAAATCTGGGTTTAGGAGCTGAAGTCAGCTCTAATACGAGGTTAAAATGGATAAAACGAGCTACTTATCTAATTAACAACTTAAAACTAGAAAAATTAAGCCATAAAAGCACCTTGAAAAATATTATGATTTTAAAAATAAACGAGCGAGGCTCCGATACTGCTGTTGGGGTTTGGTGAGTCCGACTCACTGCGGAAACAAACCAAAAAACAAGACCGCACTCGCAATAAATAAAACCATAAATATAATTAACTTAACAACAAGATTAAGATAAAACAATTACCTTTGGAGCGTGCTTTGCCCGACCGCTTGGGCTCTTACTTGAAAGCTAGCTTCGAAATTACGAAGCCTCCAACGATGATCCACCCGCAACAACGATCATCGACTAGGTCCAATGTCTTGGGGTTAGCAAGACCCGACCGATAAACCCTAGTAATTGAGTTCAAAGGCTTTCACAAAATGTGATACATTTTCCAACTCTTGAGTTCAAAGGTTTTCACTACTAGTGATCCCTTTTCCAACTCTTACTCTAGCATCATTTTCAATGCCCTTACTTGGGCATTTATTAGAAATGATGAGAGTATGACTGTCTCTCCCATCAATGTGGGATAGTGAGATTTTCACATTTTATTTAAAGGTAAAATAAAATTATTTAAGCAAGCTAGTAATAAATCAACAAGTGTCAACTATACATGAGAGAGCAAGTGAGGACCACTTGGAGAGGGGAGACCAAACTTGCTCCCCACTCTCTACATCACCTTGCGCCACATGTCCTCTCCTATTTGGGCATCAAAGCACCCAAGTGGGCTTCCCATTTATTCCTCCCTTGGTCTCGGCCCAGCCACCCGCACCCATGAGTTGCAGGCTGCTGCTGCTCTCGGCCACCATGTCGCACACTCCAAGTGCGGGCTGCTGCTGCTCTCGGTCAGTATGTCGCGCACTCCAAGTGCGAGCTGCTGCTGCTCTTGGCAGCATGTCGCGCACTCCAAGTGCGGGCTGCTGCTGCTCCTTAGTGTCGAGGCTTGCCTTGGCTGCTAGCATTGGTGCGCTAGCACGAACCAGCCATCCAAGGCTCGGCTTGGTGCGCATGCTAGCCACCATGCTACGCATTGTGCCCCTAGCACTCGGATTGCTCGGGGCACTCCAATGCTAGGGATATTTTTGGGAAATACGTTGATTTATTACTATTTTCACGTCTTGTCTTTTATTATTTTCGACTCGACTTCCGACGCTTGGTTTCGACGCTCTAAGCTCGAATTTCCGACGTCTAAATAAATATTACTCTCGGTCGACTCATTAATTCCTTCCGAATTAATTTGTCACTTCGGCTCGTTGGTTGCTTGGGTGTGACCCAAAGCTAGGGTTCAGTCAAGATTAAGCTATAGTATTAATTATGTATTAATATTACTGATCGGAAGCGGCCTCTACCCAGTCATTTCGATCACTTGACCTTATTCAATATATTAGCTTTTGAATAATTCTGAACCCACTATCAGAATAATACACTTGTTCGAAGGACACTATTCCTTTCAAGTGTGTTGACTTTACTTGACTCGTGAGTGAATAAGTGATTTTATAAGACTTGTGGTATGATCGCATAGCTAGTCATGTAAATAGCAACCAAAATGACTGATGCAAGGACTCGATTAGACGGAAGACTAAAAATTGAATTGACTGTACTAAACCCTGACTGTCGTGACACGGTGCTGACTGCCATGATGCGGCGTTACTGCAGTGGCATGGTAATCAGCTCCAAGTTATGTTTTGTTCATTTTTCTAGTTTTTGTTAGTTATAGAGTTTGCGTTACTAAGTAAATACGATCCATTGGCATTCGTTAGTCATAAAATAAACCACCATAGACAAAGAAAGATCGTTAATGTTAGGATCAAAACAATCAAATATACACACATAAGGCACATAAGCACAATAATTTAATTACTTATTTTGTTTTAATATTGTTGAGGATATAGCAGGGACTGGTGTAATGGTTGTGTTTAGTTGTCGCTTTTGGGCCGTGAACTGTGGTTGTTATTGAAGGTGAAATGGAGCTGCTACGGTGATTTGGGAATAAAGATGGTTTGGTTGATTTTGTAGGGCGAAGAGGTGGTTGCGGTGATCGGTTGTGCAGGGGAAGGAAAGGATGTTGTCGGCGAGGGGTGGCTGGTCTGGGTCGCCGGTCGGGGTTTAGGGGGCCGGCGCGGGGTATTTGGGCTAGGTCGTTGGCGGGGACAGGGTGGTGGGTTGAGTTTTTTTATAATTAATTAAATAATTATTTAAAATTTAATTAGTTAAAAAGATAACCAATAAGATGCTGCCATGTGGTATATTTAACCCCTAATGACTGACGGAGTTAACGTCGATTGGTCAATTGGGTATTCGGTGACAATTTTGTTAAATTCAGGGTTATATGGTGAATTTTAAAATATTTATGGATAAATGGTGAATAAAAAAATTGCTTAGGGGTATATGGTGAAAAAGTCGTTCTTTCAATACACATAATTATATGATACGTGTCGTTTACCATATTAAATTTAAAACTTATCTTTAACCTTAAAAAATTTAAACAACTAGTAAAAGGGTAAGAAAGGTTCGATCACTTGACGAGATTGCATAATTTCTGGAATTCAAAGTTTAACTAATAATACATAAAATACAACTATACACCTATTTACACATAAAAGAATAAAAGGGGTAATATATACACTATAGACATAAGATAAGGATGTTTAAGGATCATAAACCATAAAGTAGGCGAACCAAACTATAGCTATTCTAATATTCACAAGTGACAAACAAGTAACCAGCATAGTTGAAGTTCGAGCATTGATAAATAAGACACAATTGAACCTCTTATTTCCATCCCTTTAGTCTCATTCAATACTCGGTTTAGTATTTAGGTTGTTAGATTTCCGCCTTGAACTATCGGTTATTTTGCTCACTAAACTAGTGGAATCTTGCTAAAATATTACTAACTCAATGAACAACTTTTATCAATCAATTCATACACTTTATATAATTAACGTGAGCCGCTCATACTAATTAAACTAAGTCGTGTACTCTAAATTACCATCAAACGATGCGTCTAACAAAAATCTAGCTAGATTAATTACCTTATAAATGTAATCACGCACTATCACACATATAAAGATTAAACATTAAGTTTTAAAAATCGATTATATGAATTGAATAAATACCAAACTCAATATTAAAATACTAACAAACTCCGCGTTCAATAGCGAGACCAAAATAATGAAAAACCAAAGACAAAATTACATCCAATTAACAAGTATAATAGAATATGTTTAATATAACAAACTAGGTAATTAACGATTAAGGTAGGGAGAAACTTATGAATTAGGAGTAGTACACCAAGGTAGCCGCTACACTCGATCCTCCACCGATTTCAAACACTCACCTTCAATTATCCTAACACTGTAGCTCTTCGATCACCCTTGTACTATAAAGTCGATCTCACAACTCTCTATTTTTGGATCTGTATGTTGTCTAATTGAGTAGATAGAGTCCATATTTATAAAATTGGTACTCAAATACTGTGAGAATTTTGTTCCCAAATATGCTCTGATTTTTTTTTTTAATTGCTACATTTTTCTAGCTGGGCACAAATCAAATATTGCAATTATAGCAAGAAATACATATTTTGTTGTGAAAAGGAAGTAAAATGGTATGATTGGGCTTGATTCCATTTTTGAAGAGCTACTATTGTGTAAATGGAAAGGAGAAAAATTTCCTTTCTTTTTGAGCGTGAAGGGCGGAATTTTGGTGGTGTAAAGGTGAGTGGGGTTTTCTTGACTTCCTTTTTTCATTTCCTTAATTTGCACATTATTATTGGAAATAATTTGGTTAAATTTTCCACACGTATCCCATGTCATCTAATAAGATTAAAATATATAAATTTAGTTTAATTATCAATAAAAATATATTATTGCTAAATATAACTCATAAAAATTTTAATATATTCAATAACTGAATATATTAAATAAAAGACGACTACAAGTATAAAATTACGGAATGAAAATATGTATATATATGCACTTATCACTATATGTATATAATATTTCAACAATCAACTCTGTATATTTCACGTAATTTGTTAACTTATAATTTTTTTTATATTGAATTAACACATTACTACATGTTATTTTTGAGAGAATCTCTTAGTAATAAATACCAAGCAAAACTGCACTGGAAAGGAACATAGGGGGAAGAACTTGTAGGAACAATCCACACCCAATAAACAAATAAATCAATAAGAACTACCCAAACTATAGAGCTATATATCAAAAGAGCAGAAGACGTCAGACAAAAATTTCTGTCAATGAAATTATAGAGCTATAATCGGAAACATATCATCTATCCTACCCAAACTTTTCAAGATAGAATACAAAAAATCATAAGACCAAATCTTTTTTTTTTTTTTTTTTGGAAAATAGGGAGAAATTTATTACCAAAAGTTAAAAGGTTACATCTTACAAAGGAGCTAAGCTGAAACCAACCTGAACTACACAAGACCCTTAAGGGCCAAACAGCACCACCAAACAAACAACTAAACCTAAAGGCAGCTAACAATCCCAGGCCACCTTCTAGGAAGGGATCTTGAGAAAACAAGTTGCCTACTCTAACTGCACTAATAGTCACTGTATCCACCTTCTAGGAAGGGTGCTACTGAAACAGTAGAACAGAAAGATCATATACAAACTAGGCCAAAAAACAGCAGGACAAAACAGGCCAAGAAAAACAATAAAACCAAAAACAGAACTTAAACAATCAAAAACTTCTTGCTAGCTTCAGGACACCTACAAGCTGTACTGAAAATTATATCTCTGACAACACTGCCAACGGTTTTACAGCTCCCTGTAAAAAGCACAGAATTCCTTTGAGTCCATATGCTATAAACAGTCTCAGTGAAAGCAACATGCAGCAATTGACTCTTAGTGTTAGACTTTCTGCAATGCTTTTGATCCAAGCAACTTCTTTATCAAATCTCTGAGCAGGCTTTGGCACATGAAAAGTACTCAAGACTCTGCTCCAAATCTGTCTAGAAAACTCACAATCAAAGAACAAATGTTGCACATTCTCATTCTCTTTCAAGCAGAAAAAGCATTTAGGATCACAAGAGATATGTCATTGCAATAATCTGTCCTTAGTGACAAGTCTATTCCATAAAGCCAACCAAAGTATGAAAATACTTTTAGGGGAAGCAAGATTATTGCAAACAACCGTTTTCCAAGGCATCTTAGGAACCTGAGGTCTAATAGCATAATAGAATTTTTTTAATCCTCATTTTGTTGCCCTGAATAAAGTCATCCCATCCCCCTAGATCATTCACTACATCTCTACAACTCAGAATTTTCTTTAAGAACCAAGAGCATTTAGCAGGGATAGGGGCAGTCCAGCTATCTTTATATTTGAAATAGTAAATGTGAACCCACTTTACCCATAAATCATCAGCTTTATGAGCAATATCCCAGAGAAGCTTTGTGATAGCAGCTTTGTTACACTCAGGGAGAGAAAGAAGATTCCAGCCACCACAAACTTTAGGAAGACAGACACTGTTCCAAGAAACTAAGGACTTCCTAGGAGGAGCAGAAGAGCCAGTCCAAAGGAAACATCTGAACCTAGCTTCAATCTCCTTCAGGATCTTCTTAGGCAAAATGAAAATTTGAGCCCAGTATGTCTGAATGCCAAAAAGAACACTCTTAATTAACTGAAGCCTCCCAGAATAAGAAAGGTGTTTAGCCATCCACCCTTGAATTCTTGCAGTAACCTTTTCAACTAGAGGCTTACACTGGGAAATAGTAAGCTTCTTAGAGGAAAAGGGCACACCAAGATACTTGAAAGGAATAGAACCCTGAGAGACCTCAAGAAGATCACTAAGCTTAGTCTGAATATCAACAGGAACACCACCAAAATAGACTTCACTTTTATCAAGATTAGTAGAGAGACTTGAAGCTTTGGAAAACTTAGAGAAGACATGAAAAAGAAGCTTAACAGACTCACTGTTTTCTCTAGATAACATAAGAAAATCATCAGAAACATCATATGAGTTAGGAAAAGTTTCTCACATCTAGGGTGAAAATTGAAATCAGGGTTCAAGCTTAGCTCATAGAGACATCTGGATAAGTATTCCATAGCAATAGCAAAAAGAAAGAGGGACATAGGATCACCTTGTCTCAAACCTTTCTTTGCTTCAAAAGGAGGGGCAGGAATACCATTAATGAGAATAGAATAGTAGACAGAAGTTACACATTTCCAGATCCAAGCAATAAAAATCTAAGGGAAGCCAAGCTCTTGAAGAACAGTCTTAAGAAAATCCCATTCAACTTAGTCATAAGCCTTCTTCAAATCAACTTTAATCATAGACCTAGGGGTAATAAACCTGTGATTATACCCTTAATAAGCTCAGTTGCAAGTAAATTGTTATCACCAATGTGCTTCCCAAGAATGAAGCCTGCTTGAGCATCATCAATGAAATTTCGAATAACAGAAGCAAGCCTAGCAGTAATAATCTTGGAAATGAGCTTATAAACCACAGTGCAACAAGCAATGGGCCTAAAATCCTTGACATGAGAAGCATTGGGAACTTTAGGAACCAGAGTAATAGAAGTGCAATTCCATTGCCTTTGCAAAACCCCATTCTCAAAGAAATCAAGCACACTAGCATAAATATCATCTTTAGAAACATGCCAGACTTTCTTAAAAAAGAAAGAGTTAAAACCATCAATACCAGGGGCCTTTGAGTTGTCAATGCTCTTAAGAGCACTATCAATCTCAGAATGAGAAACAGGCTGGATAAAAAACTGCTGAGCATAAGAACTAAGCTTCTTACCTCTTCTCATAGTGACCAAATCAACAGCAGGGAGACAAGGAGCCTTAGTCCCTAAGAGAGACTTATAGAAATCAAGAATTTCAGTTGTAACAGCAGCAGGGTCCTTGAGCAAAACCTGATTAGAATCAAAGATAGAATATATCCTGTTCCTGGCTTGTCTAGTCTTCATCACTGAAAAGAAATAGTGAGATGCCATCTCCAAGATTAATCCAATTGATTTTGGATTTTTGCTTGAAAATGCTTTCCTGAATATCATTCCAAAGCTTAACAACTGCAATAGCATCAGCTTCCTTAACATGAAGCTCACTGTCTTCTGTATTCTGAATAATCAAGTTCTGAATGTCTAAAAGATCATTGTGAGCCTGATCAAACTTCTAAGAGACATTGCCAAAATGCATGCAGTTAAGAGATTTGATACTATCTTTAACAGCTTTAAGCTTCTGCCAGATTCCAACATTACCAGTATTCTAAGAATGGGAGACAGTGTCTAAGAATTCAGGGTGATCTGCAATACAGTTCATGAATCAGGGCCTCCCCTTCCCAGCAGGAGCATAACAAATATCAAGAAGTAAGGGACTGTGATCAGACAAGGAAGGGGCAAGATAGACAGTCTCCACATGCCCATAAGCATCAAGCCAACTTTGATTACCAAAAGCTCTATTAATCCAAGTAAGAGTCCTAGGACCAGAATGAGCTTTGTTAGACCAAGAGTAAAAAGCCCCTTTAATCTTAATCTCAGTAAGATCCAGCTCATCAACAAAATTCTGAAAATCTCTAGTTTCATACTCAGTAACACTATTTCCATTAAGCCTATCTTGAGAGTTAAGAACATAATTAAAATCTCCAACACATAACCAAGGAATTTGCTGCAAAGAGATATTTTTAATACCTTCCCAAAGAGGAAGCCTATCATGAATAGAGTGCATACCATATACAAAGGTGTGCTGAATCTTAGAAGATAAGTCCTTGTTACAAACAATGAAATGAATGAATTGCTCATGGATTTCCACAATGTTAACAGTAACTCTATCAGCATTCCAGCCAACCCAAATCCTACCCTTAGGAGAGCAGCAATAGTTACAAACCCAAGTCCAGGAAGGGCCAAATTTCTTCTGAACACCAATACTATTTTTAGCTTTCACTTTTGTCTCAAGAATACCAAGAAATCAACTGAATGAGAGTGAAGAAGCCTCTTTACAGAAGCAACTTTTCTAGGGTCATTCAGGCCCCTGACATTCTATATAGAGAAAATCATGAGACCAAAGGGGAATTAACCTCACCCCTGATTGGATTGATAGTAAAACCACCATCACCTTCTGTCTCATCTTCAATTAAAGCCACAAAAGCATTTGAGGTAACAGCTGGCTGATTAACTCTAGTATGTTGGCTCTTTGTTTTCCTCCCAACTATTCTCCAACCTGCATCTGAGTCATTCTGAGCAGTAGAAACATTTGGATTGATGACAGACTGCCCATGAATAGTGAAATCAGCAGTAGCAGCAGTAGCAGGAACAACATGGTTGGTTTTAGCAACCCAGACTTCCTGCTTGGGAGCTGTAGTCACTGACTGCTTGGGAGCTGCAGTCACTAATTGCTTAGAAACTGTTGGAGCTTTGGCAGAACAATCATGGCCAACTTTATTGCATTTAGAGCAAAAAGGTGGGGTCCATTCATAGACTACCTTAAGTTCCAGAATTTCCTTTGAAGGGCTTTCCACAAACACAGATTTAGGAAAGGGCTTGGTAACATCAATCTCTATCAAAACTTTGGCAAAGGAAACTCTTAGTTGTCTAGTAGTGCATTCATCAGAACAAATTGGAATACCAAGCAGACTACCAATACGACTAAGAGTTTCAGGACCCTAGCAATTTAGAGGTAAGTTTGGGAACTTAACCCATAAGGGAATAGTTCTCAAAATCTCAGCACCAAAATCAAATTTAGAGCTCCAAGGCTTAATGCATATGTGGACCAGAACAAAGAATAGTGTCCTTATCACTAATTGAACAACAATTAATGATAAAATACCCATCATCATGCCAAAATATATCTGGTGTTTTTACATTGTTCCATTGTTGAGCTATAAAACGATGAACAACAGTAATAGTAGGGTAATGAACCACCACACAGAAAACTAAGGCATTAGACCATTTCTTATTACCTTCCATAAGTTTAGAATCCTACAGCTGAGCTATCTATTTCCCATCTTGAACCATCGGGGCAATATAGGACAGGGGAGCTCCCTTAGCAGTCAACTTCCCAAAAAAAGAACTAGGCCGATCTTCACCATCTGTGTGTGTATTCTGCTCCGAGGGAGGTATTGAATGAGAATCGGGAATAGTTGGTTCAGTTCGTTGAGCAGCAACTCCAGCATCCAATGGAACAATAAACCCAGAAACCCTAGGTACTGTGTAACACCCTAATAATTCTCTCTTAAAACCTGTAAATACCCTGAACAAAATCCAAGAGAACTACTGGCGTGCTACCGCAACGTGTTCAAACGTTAAGGCTATATCAGAAATTAGCAGCGGAAAAACTAAATCAGTTATAAATAAGTTTCAAAACCAATAACCAAAACCAAACTAAATCTTACAAGTTGGAACCATTAAGGCCCTTATTCAAAACCCAAGTTAGTTAAAATAGTATAAAATGAAATTGAGTTTAATGAATTCAAAATTAAGTAGCAAAATAAGTAGTGAAAAGTAACCAACACTCCACTCAAAATCCCACAACCCTGATGCGAATGCTGCGTATGTAAGAACCTGTGGTTAATCTGCTCCCCGATATTACAAGTGTAAAAATTGGATCGTCACAGGGTCATTGAAAGGCGAAGGCCATGACCAAATAAAGACATATAAAGCACACAATCAGCAAAGCTGAGTACATACAAGCTGCGAAATAAATTAAGAAATACCTAACATGTTACTAATAATCAAGCATAAGCATCATTAAATTATAGACTTAGCACATGACTCAACCATCAAATTTATTAAGACTTCACTAGTTAATATTAACTGACTCATTTATTTATTTCATTGGATTTAGCAATAGACAAGGTTGTCCAACCCATGTCCCATTTGGAACATCAATAAAAGAAAAACCCCATGCCTCCTTTCGGAAACATCAATAAACATCCAACGACCACGGGCGCGACTCCGTGACCGTAGTTAGCATGAGATCTCACCTAACTCCTAGTTTTAAAAAAATAATATTTGAAATAGGAGACTCGTAAATCATACGGCCTCGATAAAAGTACACGACTAATACCCCATGTACCCCAACCCCTGATTGTCATTACTCCAGATGTGCACCAATCCAGAGTTTTATTGCTCATCCATCTTGAACTTTACGTGATTTACAGGTTTAGATTTGGTGATGACTCATATACATTACAATACAAACATTCCAAAGACAATTCAACCAAACATGGCAAATTCCCAATTTAAATTCTTGATTTATTAGTGACAAACAACATTTATTAATTATTCCTTTACTACCTCGGTGTATGAACACCTTGAATGCATAAGGCACCCCAAAACCTTAACCTCGTCTTTTCCTCCTTTACTCATCCTGTTTGCATAATCATGAATGAGTAATGATTTAATCTTTACACCAATCACATACCTTTGCCTTTAAGCGCACCTTGCATAATTAGAGCACAAATAATACTTGCATTACAAACTAGTGCACATCATTTGAAATTCACAATGTATAACCAAAAAATTTAACCCAGTCAATCCTATACATGGTACTAAGTTCTCGATCCGTCCTTAAACATGCACCTACAAGCAAGGTTTCGTAACTTGTACGTACCTTGAGCAAACGAATTGGTATGCCACTTTATTAACTATAAATCACCTTCAATAAGCTCCTCTCCTAAACTAATTAATAATATCTCAATCAATACCCAATCAATCAAATTTACAGCAATACTAACTTACTTTTAAAACCTTCAAAAATCCAAATCCAACAAAACTTTAAAGCCTTCCCTTTAGTTAAAATTAAAGGTTTATATATAGTTCTTTAAATTTTCTTCATAAAAACCTTAAAATACACTCTTATACATGAAATTACAGTAAGTTTAAAGTTTAATAAAAATCATAAAATTATTTAAAAACCCCTAATAATCTCCCTTTTTAATGGGTGATTAAACCCTCTTTATAAAACATCAAAAGTAATACTTAGAAACTATTTCCAGCACTTAAAACTTCAATAAAACATATACTTATGCTTAATTAACTTTAAACATAATTAATTTAATTAACCAAACTCAAGGATGATATTTTAAGTATAAAAAAACTTCGTTAAAATCAAAAACTGCCCAAAAATCATATTTAGAGGCTGAATTTGGCCACGAGATGGTGGTGCTCACTACTAAAGAGAGTGATTCTTTCTTAAAACATTGTTTCCACGTGAAAAACACTAATTTTTTACCAAAATCAGATGAGTTCAGAACCTGATCGGGATTAAAACGGGATTAATATTAACGAACGGAAATCTAAAAATTAAAACTCGAATTTAAGTGTTCAAAATAATTTGGAATTAAGTTAAACTAATATTTAGTTATAATCACCAAAATTTCAAAACATCATTACTATAAAAGCCCTAAATCAATTGTTCATAAAAACCCTAAAATCATGATTTTCAATAATTAAAAACCCTAGGTTATAAAATTTACAAAATCTAAAAATTATGACATTTATAAAATCTGAAAATTCATCAAAATACAATTTGATACTAATTTAATTAATTTCAAACAATAAAATCAAAACCCATAAATCAATAATTATAATTACACAAATTAATAAAACAAAGGAGAAAGAAAACAAGACTAACCTTTTTGTGTGGGAAATTTTTGGAGATTAATGGGGTATTTATAGGAGAGAACGTTGTTGGGTAAATAGAAAGATTGGGCCTCATAAAATTAATGGGCCAAATGAATGAAATGGACTAAGCTTTAGTTGTATTAAAATAAATTATAGAATGAAGGTTCATAAAATAATTTGTACCAAAATAATTTTTGACCCAAATTAATAATTTGAATATTTTGAAATTAAATTACGAAAAAATACAAAACAATATTATAAATAAAATTAAATTTCATTTATAACGTATTTAAAATTACAGGGGATTACATACTGTTCTATTGGAAATCAAGGATGCTGGTGTAGAAATGGCTTCAGCAAATAGTGCAATAGTCTCAGCATCACTCCGGGGAATAGAACCACAAGACGGATTGACCAGTGCCGGCACCGGAGTGACCAGCTCATCTGCCTCTTGAATTGGGCTTGGCACAAAAGTAGAACCCGAGTTTCGCAAATTCTGCAAAATTGTATCAAAAACTGGATCATTAGAATTCCTATGTTGTGCTAATTGAGGTGTAGAATTGTTCTGCTTCTTCTTCTTAGCCATCGGAAATCAAGATTGATGAAGGAACCGATCAAAATCGAAGAACCATGGAGAAGAGAGAGAAGAGAGAAAGTCAACAAAAGTCAAACCTCACATAATGCATTTGACTTTCATTCGATTCATAAGACCAAATCTTCATCCCAACCATTAGGAAGTCTCGATAAAGTAATATCAAATGTTTTTATAATCCAGTCTGTAGAAATACTACTAAAATAGTAGCCGCCTAATAAAGCAATCTATACAACTTTGGAAAATTCTCGTAGAGATTTATCCTTACACCATTTGTCATGCCAAAGCAGAACCTTTGGACCAATATTTTAACTTAAAATCATCCAAGTACATAAAAACATACAATACCTCCTGAAATAAATTTTCGGATGCCTATGCCTTGAAAAAAGATCTTCTTGCTCCACCATCCCAGGTTCTTGCACTGATATTTCTCTACAAAATCTCGTTTTCATTAACATATATCAACAAATGGCCACCTTGCCTTGATCTTCACATATTGTTCCATCAGGGTAACCGCCTAACAACAAGTTCTCCATGGGACAACTCACTTCCCACATAAACTAATGTAAACCCTTAACAAAATAATTGGAAATTTGATAGCCTTTGGCAAGTCCTATTTGATTTTTCTAGCTTTGAAGCCACTATACCTAGGATAGTGAGCATTAATACAAACCAAATAGGCAAGATGAAAAGTGCTTCTTATCAATGATAATCTGCATGGGTATCATTGTTGACAAAGCTTTGATTCCAATACTACAAGTTATTTATGAGAGAATCTCTCAATAATAGATACCAAGCAAAACTGCACTGGAAAGGAACATCAAGTGGAAGAACTTGTAGGAACAATCCACACCCAATAAACAAATAAATCAATAAGAACTACAATTTTGGAACAAATAAAAATGAATATGGTTCCTTAATGGGTAAGAAAATTGCATGCTCTGAGTATTTGACTATTTATATCAGACATTCCTAAGGGTACGATCTATGTTAAGACTCTTCAGTTTACCTCAAGTACCCGTATCGGACCCTGACACTCAAACATGGGTATTCCACTTGGACACTTCACTTTTAATTCAAAATCATGGAATTTTGTCACAAAATAGCTGAGTCGGACGCTTGGACACATAACCATGTTGGACATGGATACCCTAAGTTCAAGGAACATAAGGTACGATCAAGAACCTAATATAAATCTAGTTTATAGGACAAATTAATTTGGTTAGATTTCAGAGAAGGAATGTGGCACTTAATTGAATGGGTCGAGAATGCAGGCTTTTGTAGAAATTGGAATTGTTATATGAAACCATCTGATTTAAAAGGTTCAATAGTTCATTCTTGCCCTGGGATTTGTATGATAAGCAACTGTTACACAGTTGGTTATCATCTTTGCACAAATGATCTTTTTTATCTAACAAGAAATGCAGGATTGCCAGCTGTTCCCATCAGATCTGTACACAAATTTTACAACCAATTTTTTGCATCTAAACCTCAGACTGAAATTAAAATATTTACTGCTAGCTTTTTTGACATAATCTAGTGTTTTTGTGGAAACCCTAGAATATGTACATACCACCCCCAACAAACATCTCAAAAACAATATTGTCACAACTGGTTATACAACTATATTGATGCAAAATTCCTCAAAAAAAATTAATAAAAAAATAGTTGTCACCAATGGTGGAGCGGAGCCAGGGTGGGATAAGGGGACAACCCACTTTCCAAAAAAAAATAGATTAGATATATTATTGTGTGTAATATTTTATGATACAAATAGCATGGTGTAATGGTTAGAGAAAGTGTAGTTCTTTTCAAGAGACTAGAGATTAAACCATAGTGTAGTATTTTCCATTATTTTAACTCTAATACTTTTAGTTTTTCAAACCTAATTCAGGTTTCCCTTTTATGTATTTGAAAAATATTGAAATTTTGAATATAATAAATTTTAGGGATTACCCTGGTTATATATACTTTTTTGTGTTAAAAAAAATCTCAATCTCCACATTATGATTGTAATAGGAAATTATGAATTATGACAATTGCATTTAATAACCTATAGTATCTAATGTTTGAATTTTTCAAATATTCTAAATTATAAGCAAATATTTCTAGAGCAAAAATTGGAATATGATGTTTGGATTTTTGACTAAATACTCAATATTTTGGATTTGAGTTGTAAACTTTAATAATTGAACTTTTTATGTGTTCAAGTATTATTTATTTATTTTTTTTTTTAAAAAAACAATTTTTTCAATTGTCAAATTATGTGATGTCAATAGATATTGTTAGTGATGTAATACATTAAAAATTATATATTCAATCCTTAAATTACAAACATGGACATCTAATTCCTCCAACAAATGGAGATGAAAATTGTATGTATTGGATGAACTCAAGAACACCATTCAAACTGTTTGCCCATAATTATTCTAATTGACCTCAACTGCCTCAATAAATAGTTAGGTAAACCTATATATGCTTCTTTTGCGTTGAAAACAAAAATCCCTTCTATTTTTTATTTTTATTAATTAGTACTTATATACATTTATTTAAATAATTGTAATTATAATTTTAGATGAACAAAATCCCCATATTACAATTGTAATAGAAAATTCTAAATTATGACGATTGAATTTAATAACCTATATTATATAAATGTTTAAATTTTTAAAAATTTTGAACTCATAAGCAAATATTTCTAGAGTAAAAATTGGTATATGATGTTTGGATTTTTAACTAAATACTCAGTATATTGGATATTTTTTGAATTGTAAACTTTTATAATTGAACTTTTTGTGTGTGGATTTTTTCCAAATATTTTTAATTGTCAAATTATGTGATGTCAATAAATGTTGTTAGCAATGTAATACATTTAAAAATTATCTCTTCAATCCTTAAATTACAAATGTGACAAATGTGGACATTTAATTCCTCCATCAACAGAGATGAAAGTTGTATGTAATGTATGAAGTCTAGAACACCATTCAGAATGTGATTGCCCATAATTATTGTAATTGACCTCAACTGCCTCAATAAACAGTCAGATAAACCTTTATATGCTTCTTTTGCGTTAAAAATAAAAATCCCTTCCATTTTATTTATTTTTGTTAATAAGTACTTATATATTAACTATTACTAAAACAAAACATGCTGACATCATTAAATGACACTTGTCAATTTCTTATGAAATTTTTTCCCACCAAAACTATTTTTAACATCATCATTTTTTTCCCTATTTTTTTTCCTAAGTTCTAAAATTAAACAATTACAATATTTTTTTCAAAATTAATAAATAAGATTATGATTACACTTTTTCGAATAAAGAATATTGACAACAATTTTAAACAAATAAAATCTATTTAAACCGTGCAACGCATGGGATTAATCTAGTATACATATATTTTAAATAATTGTAATTATAATTTTACATGAACAAAATCCCCATATTACAATTGTAATAGAAAATTCTAAATTATGACGATTGAATTTAATAACCTATATTATCTAAATGTTTAAATTTTTCAAAAACTCCGAACTCATAAGCAAATATTTCTAGAGCAAAAATTGCAATATGATGTTTGGATTTTTAACTAAATACTCAGTATATTGGATTTTTTTTTTTGAGTTGTAAACTTTTATAATTGAATTTTTTTTTGTGTGTTGATTTTATTCCAAATATTTTGAATTGTCAAAGTATGTGATTTCCATTTGTCCACCCGATTCGAAATTTCTAGCTCGGCCACTATTTACCACCACTCAAAATTAAAGAAAGGAAACTATATTGACAATCATTGAGCATCTTCGTTGAGCAAGAAAATCAATTCAACTGCTTTACTTAAAGGAAAATTTGACAATTACTACCGCAAGTTAATACCACTTTGTAAATTACGACCGCAAGTTAAAAAAGTTGTGAATTACTACCGCAAAAAATTTTAAGATGTTGCGATTACTACCAAACCCCCATTACACCCAACTATGACGTCATTATATAACTTTAACCCATGGTTAAAGCTCTTAACCATGGTCAAATATGGGTTAAAACCCTTAACCATAACGTCATTATATCCCTAACCCATTTTCTTTTTTTTTTTTTGGGGGGGGGGGGGTGGTTAAAGCCCTTAACCATGGTCAAACATGGGTTAAAGGGATATAATGACGTCATAGTTGGGTTTAATGGGGGTTTGGTAGTAATCGCAACATCTTAAAATTTTTTGCGGTAGTAATTTACAAAGTGGTATTAACTTGCGGTAGTAATTGAAAAATTATCCTTACTTAAAAGTATATACACAAATTCAATTTTGTTTTTTGGATCTCTTCATATTTTTTTTGATTTTTTTTCACAATAGTAGAAAATTATATAAAAAAAACACATGTGCAAGAAGAACGCCAAACATAATCAATCTAATCTAGCTATATCAAAACTCCTAACAAAGGCACTCATAGCCATCCAAATATATAGAGCAATCAATCTCAATAATAAATTTTTATAAGCAAGGAAGATAAATCAAGCATACAAGACATCACGAATCTAAAAATTTCCACTATCTTGAGATGGATTCCCCCAAACTAGCGAATAACATTAAATGGATAGTGCTCCAACCAACTCAACCAAATTATTTCCAACATAGATATATGCAACTTAAATTTATTATACTTAGATTGGATCATGGGGCGGGCCATGGCTTAGGTTGGCAACCCTTGGATCCGTCATTGCATCATGCACCTACATACACATCGAAGAATAAAAGGAAATATAGGCAAAATGAAAAGAAGTACAGAAAACGAAAAGCAATAAACACGGGTCACTTCCTGATAAAGACTTAATTAAGATCCTAAGCTTGACCTTTTTGGTAATCAACATGTCAACGATCACAATAACTTGTCAAGTGCTCTACAACACATCTCAAAAAATATCCCATATGTAATTCTACAAACGAAAATAATGCACCAAGTATAGTAAAACTATATGCAAATGAGGAGAGAGGAATGTCAAG